GGCTCCAGCCCTCTCGGGTTTTGGTTGTTGATTGCTGCCCCAAGATGTGCAGGGTGTCTCTGCTTCGGCCCGTGCAGCTGAAGAACGAGTCTGGACTCTTCACTTTTCACTCTTGAGGTTGTTCATTAATTCTTATCTATAAAATTTTCTTTCTGCCCAGCCGAGATCTGCTCAGCAGGGCAGCCACAGGCACTCTGACTGCCCCAAGGGTGGTGTTGTCCTTTTATACTACAAACTACATATAACATATTTACACTGAATTCCCAATACCCATCACCTATGTTAGACAAGTGCTCTTCTACTCCAAACCAACCCCAAAGTGCCAACATCACAGCAGAAAATGGAAAACAAGAAGAAGAAGGAGAAAGGCTGGACATGCCCAGGTCCCTCCATCTTGTCCCCATAACCCCCATACCAAAAATCCCTGTCCAAGTTCACTGTTTAACATAGGTGATTGTAAACATGTTATATGTGGTTTGTAGTATAAAGAGACAAAAGGATAAAGAGGGCGTTCAGAGTGCCTCTGGCTGCCCTGCTGAGCAGACCTCGGCTGGACAGTGTCACAGACATCTTCCATGAAAAATCTTTTCTTTAGGATTTTTCCTCCTGAGAAGCTGAGAGGCCTCAGGAGCAAAATGTAACCAATGGTTATCTGCTGCTGTGGAATGCAACAGGTGCATCTGGGATTGGGCTCATGTGGTTGTTTCTAACTAATGGCCAATCACAGCCCAGCTGGCTCAGGCTCTCTGTCCAAGCCACATACCTGTGTTATCATTCTTTTCTATTCTTAGCTTAGCCAGCTTTCTGATGAGAACCTTTTCTTCTATTCTTTTAGTATAGTTTTAATGTAATATATATCATAAAAGAATAAATCAAGCCTTCTGAAACACGGAGTCAGATCCTCATCTCTTCCCTCATCCAAGAACCCCTGTGAGCACCGTCACAGGACAGGAGAAAAATTTTTATAGATAAGATACAATAAACAACTCTGAGACCGAAAACTGAAGAACTCCAATTCCTTCTTCGAACGTGTGGGTGGAAGCAGAGACTTTTCACGTGTCTGGGGGGGGGTTCAATTAACAGCAGAACTCCCGAGAGAGCATCTCCCGAGGAGCTGGCCCAGCTCGGAGCTGCTTCTTGGCAGGGAGGCTCCAGCAGCAGCTCCACGCCCGCCCCGTTGAGTCACGGCTCCGCTGGTGGCCCTGGCTGTGCTCAGGGGGGACCATTTTAGGCACTGGTGACAGAGGTGTCAGCGAGCACGGCTAAAAATAGCGGTGTTGAAGGGGACGAGATGGTCGGGCTGCTCAAACCCTGGCACGGCCCCGGCGGTGCTGATAGCGAGTGCCCTTTGCTTGTTCTCCTGCCTCCAGGTCCCCTTATCTGTCCTTCCAGCTCGGGGTGATTCTGTCACCCTGTCACCAGGTCCCCTGCCCTGATATTTTATCCTGCAGGCTCCTGCTCGGGGCTGTTGGTGCCTGTTCTGCCCTCCAGGGAGGATGGAAAACTGAACAAAACTGTAAAACAGTAAAACTGATGTAAAACTGCAGAGGGGCTCCCAGCTGGGCCACAGGACAGACCTGGATTTGTGTGAGCCCCGCACGCCGGGATCTGCAGGGGTTTCACTGCACTCCGGAGCACTCCTGGGTTTCTGCTTTCCCTCCCTAAGGAGCTGGAATCATCCCCTGTTCCCTCTGGAGCATTCATCAGATTTAGATTCACCGTCCTAGGAAGTGCTCAAGGCCAGGCTGGACAGGGCTTGGAGCACCCTGGGACAGTGGGAGTGCCCCTGCCCATGGCAGGGAGTGGCACTGGGTGATCTTTAAGGGGCACTGGGTGATCTTTAAGTTCCCTTCCCAAACCATTCTGGGATTCCATGATTCTGCCACGGTGATGGGGAAACTGAGGCAGGGATGTCTCACAACTCCCCTGGTGCCCAGAAAAGGACCAGGAGAGCAGAGTCCAGGCTCTGCCCGACCTCCCTGCCACGCTCATCAGGGGTGTCCCACTCTCTCAAGACACCCCCCGAGTTCTGGGGGTTAAATCCTGATCTGTCATGAGCAGCAGCTCCTGCTATTCAGGGTGGTGATTACCTCGGGAACATCTGTGCTGACAATCGCTGAGTGGCAGCATAATTCCCACCAGCTCTGCCTCCGCCTCCTCCTCCTCCTCCTCCTCCTGCACGGGCTTCGTTTCAAAGCACGCTCCCTGCAAAGCCCTGCCATGCCTGATCAAGGGAAAAGCTTGGAGGACAGGCAGCAGAATCAAAACCCCAGGCTTGCAGCAAATCCCAAATCCACCTGCACAAAGCTCCCCCTGTCCCTCGGTGTCTCACAACCAAGGGCTTGGGGTTGTCCTCGCAGCTTTTGGCTTTGCTGTGGACATCCTGACCTCCCAGGGCTGCGTGGACACACCTGGGCTGGATCTGTGGAATCTGTGCTGGAATTTGATTTCTTTTTCTTTTTTTCCCCCTCCAAGCATCTGGTGGAAGAACACAGCAGGGCTGGGGCTGGGCTGGGGGGAGGCAGGAACACTCTGCTGAGGGCCATCCATCCCTTAAATGAACACCCAGAGCAGGGATGCTGCCCCGGGGCCCACGGACATTCCTTGGCTATATTTGGTGATGGATGGAGAATTCGCTGCTTCCCCTCGGTCCATCTGTTCCCCTGACTGGCAGGGAGGAGCTGCAGTGTCGCTGCTGCTCGGATGGAGCAGCCATAAAATCTCATAAATCTCCTCTGCTGAGCCTGTGCTGCCTCCCACCTGTTGGCTGGGAGAGGATCAAGCTGACAAAAGTCTCCTGCCAAGCTGTATTTTTATCCAGGGCTCCATCACGAGCCCAGGTGCCCCACAAAAGCTGCTCACGAAGCACAGGGAGGTGTTTGGATCACAGCACATCCCACCCCTGGAATCCCACCTCTCCCACAGGTCCCCAGTCCCGAAGCAGGAGCTTGAATCACATTTTCTGAATTCCCTTAAACCCCCAAAACCCCTTTTTTCCTTCTTGTCACGCCTGCCCCATCACCATAAAACCTGGGAGGTCCCAAGCAGGGAGCCAAACACGCATTGTGAGAACAGAGGGAGCAGGGCTGGGACCAGCACGGTTTTATTATGGAAAAACACCCCGAGGGATCCCATTTACATGGCAAAAAACCACCGGGGGACAATGAAGCGAAATCCACAGCAACAACACACAGCAGGAAAAGTCCAGTTGTCAGCCAGGACAGCAGGGCCCTGTGAGAGCAGTGCCCATCCCAGGGGTGACCCCAGGGACACTCCCCAGCCCCAGGGGACCTGAGGGAGGTGCACAAACAGCAAGTCCTTGTCCTCCAGCTGCAGGGATGGAGGAGGAAAAATAAAAAAACAAAAGCAGAGGGAGCCACGTGGATAAAAGCAAAAGGGGCAGCCATGGTGGGAATGGAAAATCCTCCCTGCTTGGGGGGGATATGGGGAGGTCTGGCTCAGCTGGGGCTCATTCCTGAGCCCCACACCTCCCAGGGGGCCCCTGAAGTGCCCTGGCAGCAGGAGGACCCAAAGCAGGGTCACTGAAAGGCTGTCCCCAGCTCCCTGTGCACCTCAGGGCCTGGAGAGGCAGCAGGAATCTGCTCAGACCCAGGGTTCTACCCCAAAACCACAGCCCAGCACTTCCCTGGCATCCATCTCCCCCTGCCAGCAGCAGCATCACCTCTGGATCATCCCATGGACACATCCCCCTGTCCCCAGCCCCAGGGCTGGCTGACAATCCCATTCCTCCTGCAGCATCCTCTTCCCTGCACAAGCCAGGCTTGGCTGGGCTTCCACCATCTTCAGGGAACACCTTGGAAATGTTTACTGGCTGTGCTCCCCCTCCCAGCTGCCAGAGAGGCCTCCAAGAGCCAGCTCAGATCCCAAAATCCTGGGTTCACATGAAAAAAGACGAGACCTGTCTATAAACCTGAGTGCTGGAGGATGTGACACTCAGAAACTCATTTCTCCCAAGATTTTTCATTTGTTTGTTTGGATTTCAGACCTTCCTCCGAGGTGTTTGTCACCCAGATGTGACAGTTAACAGTCTGCCAAATAATTTTTTTTGGGGGGGGGGGAAAAAGTGCAATTTGCTTTTCACTGCTAGAGCAGGATTTAGTGCAATGAGAAAAATCTGCAGAGCCACTGGAGGCAACACCAGCTTGGTTATTTACATATTCCTCAAAAGAGTGATAACTCCAGCTCCAGCCTCACTGTCTGAGCTGAAACTTCCCTGGAAAGAGCCAGACACACAACATGGAAAATTTCAGCCCATGGTATTTGTAGAAAACTGCCTGATAATATTGAGCACCCTTCCTGCTCATGCAAAAAACCACCAAAAATAATAAAGAGAGGAAAAGAAAAACCCACGAGGAAGAAATAATCTTTACATTTTCCTCCCGAGTGTCTCCTTTGGGACAGGGCTTTGAGCAGAAATGTCAGCGTGATTTTCACACCAGTTTCTCTCCCATTGATTTCCCATCCTGTTTTTTAATCAGAGATTTGGTTCTCTCACAGCATCGCTAACAGTGGTGTCTATTTTAGGAAACACCAGAGGTTTTAAGAAGCTGAGGAGAAAAAGATTATCAACTCATATGGGCTCAGCCTGGAAAGGGAGGAAAAAATCCTTTAATTGAAATCCCCAGGCTGAAATTCTGTGCAGATTTACCTAAATGGACTTCAAATGATGTCCCTAATATATCAAGGCCTGCTTTTAACTTAATTCAAGCCCTGGGCATGCGTCTGCAGCCCTTGGACAAGCTGGGCTTTGGATGCTCGCTGAGATTATTAGTTTTAAGTGCTAAATCATGCAAGTGTGAAACCCAAATATAAAAACCTGGCCCAACAATACTCCAGCCCAAAGCTCCAAGCAGGAAACAGGATTTTTTTTTTTTTAGTATGTTAAGTATTTGTTTCTATTTTTCCAGATTTAAGCTGGCAAAATCTTGGTGAAAGGACAGACAGTGAGTATTTTCTGGTTGGGGAGCAGCAGCTGGGGCTGTGAAGGAACAATATCACGGTTTAATTCCAGTTCAAAGGGACAAAATTTTGTTCCAAAGCTGCTTGGAAGGCTTTTGAGTGCTCCCAATTTTCCAGTTCAGCCTAAACATTTGCTTGGGAAAGCCAGAAGGCTTTGGGAGTCACTGGGGGTTTTAAATAAATAGGTTAAAATAAATAGGTTAAACCTGCCTGGCACAAAGATTCCACACAAGGCAGACCCATCCTCGAGGGGTTTTTGCCCGAGGCAAGTGCAGAGTGCACAGATGAACCGGGAAAACATCTCCTGGCACAGAGGAGCCCCCAGCCCCACGAGGAACAGCAGCAAACAGAGGCACCAAGGACATTTTGCTCCTCTCTCCTGCCCCTAACCCGGGGGGGATGAGCCCCCATTCCCAGAACAAACACCCCCTGCACGAGCAGGGAGCCTGGCTCACGGGATGAGGTCCACGCTGGGCTCTGGGGGATCCCCCCAACCCCACTATTTGCTGTTTGGGGTCTGCTGCTTCTCCTGCGCCGGCCGCTTGTGCTTCTGGGCCACGCCGTAGGGGACGTGGGCGGCCACGGCGCCCATCTCCTGCGCTCCCTCCACGTGGAACATCTGGTCGTCGAAGAAGATGTGGGGCCTGATCTTCCTGAGCAGAGGGCCCTTGGGAGCCCCTGCCAGGAACAGAGCCTCGTCCGTCTCCAGGCCCCAGCTGCGCAGAGTCTTTAGGGCGCGGGCGCCCGAGCTGGCCGCGCTGCGCGCCGTCACCAGGTACGTGCGGATGGGACACTCCAGCCTCAGCCCCTTGGAGTAGAACTTCTTCTGCAGCTTCCCCAGAGCCTCCAGGAAGCCCTTCAGAGGGCCCTGAGGGAGCGAGAAACCTTCTGTCAGCCTTTCAATCACCAGCTTCATGTCATCACCCTGTGAGCCACCCCAAAAATGGCCCCAAACCATCCCCCTGTGCCACCACCTCGTGTCACAGACATCTTTTATGGAAAAGCCTTTCCTGTGGATTTTTTCTCCTGAGAAGCTGAGAAGACTCAGGAGCAAAATGTAACCAATGGTTATCTGCTGCTGTGGAATGCAACAGGTGCATCTGGGATTGGTCTCATAGAGTTGTTTCTAATTAATGGCCAATCACAGCCCAGCTGGCTTGGACAGAGAGTCCAAGCCACAGGCCTTTGTTATCATTCTTTCCTATTCTATTCTTAACCAGCCTTCTGATGAAATCCTTTCTTCTATTCTTTTAGGACAGTTTTAATATAATATATATGATAAAATAATAAATCAAGCCTTCTGAAACATGGAGTCAGATCCTCGTCTCTTCCCTCATCCTCAGACCCCTGTGAACACGGTCACAGCCTCGCTGTGGCCTGATCCCAGAGTTTGGAGCATCCCATGGGGGCTGCCTCACTCCCAGAGCTTTCTCCTGCCCTTAGCCCAGCTGTACCTGTGCCAGGGGCTTGTTCTCGTGAGCCTTCTCATGCTCAAAGAACATGTCCAGGCCGTGAGCCTTCACGATCTGCTCCGACTCATCCGAGAAGAGCACGGCGTCCCCGTCGAACGCCACCCTCAGCTGCTTCTCTGACACCTCCAGGTCTCTGCTGGGGCTGAAGATGGTGGCTGCAGCAATCCCTGAGGATGAGGCAGGAGGTGGCAGTTATCCAAGGATCCGGCCTCGTGGAGGAGCAGAGCAAAACACGACGGGCTGGGAGCAAAGCGCCGCAAGGAAACGCGAGCAGGAGCCCCTGCAGCTTGGCCCCGAGAGCTTCCACGGCAAAAACAACCCCCCCCAGATGACAAATCACCCTTTGCATACAAGAATTAAGGAGGAAAAACACCTCCTTTGCCTCGGGAGAGCTGTGGAGCTGGAGGAAAGGCTCATTTCTATGGAAACTGGAGGCTCTTTGGAGCGTCAGAGATGTGGGGCGAGGCAAACCTTAAGTGCACATTGGATTAGGGACATGGAAATTGGAGTTATCCTTCCTGGGATCAACCCCCTGAGGGCTCCAGGCTCCCCCCACTGCCCCCCTCCTTGAGCTGGACCCCAGACTCACCCTCTTCAATGGCCCCACTCACTTTCTCGGCATCGGAGGAGAGGTAGAGGTTGGTGTGATAGGCCTTGAGGTAACAGATGGGGCTGTTCCCTCCCGTCATGCAGAACCTCTCGATGAACAGATCTGGGGGCAAGAGGGACCCTGGGGTGAGCCTGGCTGCCCCCCAGACCCAGCCTTGGTGCTGGGAGGGCTGGGGTTAATCCTGGTTCTGCTGCCCAACAGCAGGGCCAGCAGCCAGAGTTCCTCCCCACCATCCAGTTCCTGCTCAACACCCAGAAAATCCGGGAGAAGCGTAAAAAAAAACAGGAGAAAACATCTCCTTTTCTTGGTGCCCAGCAATGCCACCACCCAAAAGCCACCAAGGCCAGCTGTGTCCCCATCTCACCATAGTGGTTGATGCTGTTGATCAAGCGAACCCCAACCTGGGCGTGGTTGTTGGTCATGAGGACGATGTCGAAGAGCTCCTCGCTGTCGGGGTAGAGCTCACGGAGCTGAGCATTCACTGCCTCCAGAGCCTGCAGCACCCCAGGGAGAGGGGGTGGGTGTCAGCCAGGCCCCCCCAGGCATGGCCCTGACCCCCTTCCCACCCAGCAAAGCACTCCTGGTCACCAAATCCACACATCTGGCCAGCCCCAGGTGTGGTGCTCAGCCCTTCCCACCAACAAAATGCTCCTGGTCACCAAAATCCCCACCTCAACTACACCCCGAGCCAAGCTGGCATCAGCTGGGAAAAAATAGATTTATTTTAGTGGGGGGGAGGAAAAATTCCACCTAGCTACTTCTCTGTTTTTAAACATAAAAGGTTTGGATTTATTAAATGAGGATAAATTAGCTCCAAGTTACAGATAAGTGTTTTTCAGGCAATCAGAAACAAGTCCTGCCCCACTGAGCTGATTAACCTATTTATTGGGAATGGGCTCCAGCTCCCAAAACTGCACTAATTGCTACAGGAGTTAGAAAATAATTTTCCAGTTTGAAATGCCTCATTTCAACATGTCAGGATTAGAAATTGGCCGACTCGGGAGCAAGGCTAAACTCAGCCAATTTACAAGAATAAATAAATTGTAATAATAATCATAACTACAAAACAAAACAAAAAAAAAAAAAGACAGTTCCCTAAAGGGAAACTTTAAATGTGATCCAAGGAGATGATTTGTTCAATTCTTGGGCTCAGGATGGAAAATCCAGCCCTGGAAACAGCACATCCCTTGCTGGGAGGTTTGTCTGCCCTCTGCTCCGTGGCTCGTGTCCATCCTGGCCCCACATGAGCTCTGTCCCCTCCCCAGGATTTCTGCTCACCTTGACGAAGGGGAAGGCAGCCCCGGGGAGGAAGGGCTCATTCTCGTGGTCCAGCTGGTATTTCACATAGGCCTCCACGCCCTGCTCCGTGTAGATCTTCTGCTCCTCCTCCATGCGGAACAGCGCCCGCGAGGACACGGCGATCGTGATGGCATTCTCAGGCTTGGGCTGTGGGCACAGGGACCACTTAGGGAGGGACAAATTAGGGAGGCAGCCCCGAGGTGGATCCCCCAGCATGAAAGGCCACAAGGTGGGTGACACCTCTGAAATGATTTGGAGAAGGACAGAGCGGCTGCATCCCAGCGCTTCCACAGATGAAGCCCTGTCACACACATCTTTTATGGAAAATCCTTTCCTTAGGATTGTTCCTCCTGAGAAGCTGAGAGGCCTCAGGAACAAAATGTAACCAATGGTTATCTGCTGCTGTGGAATGCAACAGGAGGATCTGGGATTGGTCTCATAGAGTTGTTTCTAATTAATGGCCAATCACAGCCCAGCTGGCTCGGACAGAGAGTCTGAGCCACAAACCTTTGTTATCATTCTTTTCTATTCTATTCTTAGCCAGCCTTCTGATGAAATCCTCTCTTCTATTCTTTTAGGATAGTTTTAATATAATATCTATCATAAAAGAATAAATCAGCCTTCTGAAACATGGAGTCAGCTCCTCATCTCTCCCCTCATCCTGGGACCCCTGTGAACACTGTCACAAAGCCCTGATGCTCCATCCCCACACATCTGGGACGCCTCAGATCCCACTGCCAAGCCCTCCCACTGCAAACAGGCTCCCAGAACCCGTGCAGACCCCAGGAGGAGCTGCTGAAGGCCGTGCAGATGGAATTTGTGTGGCTTTTCCCACCCCCCAGGCAGGAACGAGCCGCGCTCTGCGGCTGAGCCAGATCCGCATCCCGTGATGCCGTCCAGATGTGACAAACAGCCCGTGCCAGCTCAGCTCCTCCAAACACTTGATACAGCTATTGTGGGTGGAAACATGACAAACAGGTGGTGCAAGCAATGATTTATGAGTCATTATTATTGATGTTTGAGGGCTCCATCCAAAACCCAAATCCAAAACCTCCTCCAGCTGAAGCCAAGGAGGCGCCTCCAGAGGGACGTAGCAGGGACAGAGGGGACAGAGGGAAAGTCAAGCTCATCTTGGCCCCCACCCACCCTCCCTCTGTCCCCTGTTAATCCTCATCACTCACTTGCAAGCACAAAAATCAGTTAATTACCGATGGCCAGTGAGCAATCCTGGCTGCCAGGACGGCAAATCCTACAGAGGGACAGTGGCACAGGGAGCTCCTGTCCCCTGCAGAGGAGCCCAGCGAGCAGCACAGGGCTTGGGGGCTCTCTGAGAAATCCTGTCTGTGAGCACTGCAGGAACACCTCACCCCCTGCTCCTCTGTGCCTTCCAGGATCCTCTGAGCCGTGAGTAATCCCCTGGCAATGCCATTTGCTCAGGGTGGAGGGTGCCTCCTCCAGGTGCTCCAAAGTTCAAGCTCCCACCCTGCCCAGGGCTGAACTTTGCAAGGCCAGGGTGCCCCATCCACACTGGGCTCGCCCTGGGGCTGGCTCTGCCCTCAGCCCCACCCAGGAATGAGTCAGTGGGAGCCTCCACGCCATTCCCAGCACCAGATCCACCCCAGGCACCTCTCCAGAGGCTGCATCCACTCCCAAAATCCCCAAAATCCCCCAAATCCCCAGCAAAGCGATTAAACAGCGGGCATTAGGACGAGACCCAGATTAGCTGGGGCTGAGAAGATCAGTGTGGGCACAGGGATCCCTCTCCCACAGCATTTTCAGGGAATCAGGTCCTGTTTGGAAGTGGCTGTTTTAGGAAAGCGGGGGAGCAACCCCCAGCACAGGCAGGACCTGGTCCATGACACCAGCACTGCTCCAAGTGAACCACAGCCAGGTCCCCAAGGAGTGTCAGCTATTAACTGGTCACAGGCCAAGCCTTGGCACTTCAGCTCATTAATTAATAACTCTGGAGTCATGGGCCATTTATTAGCTGAAAATATTAATAACTCTGAAAGGTCTTGGGACATCCGGCCATGAGCTGGAGTCCTGCTGCTCCATCCTGCTCCAGAGTCCCTGCAGTGCTGGCTGGCCAGGAAATCTTCCAGGTGTTTGCTCCCTGATCCTGGACCGGGGTCAGCCCTGCAGGGAGATTCCCAGGAGAGAAAGCAGGTCAGCAGCCCAGATGTAACAGCACTGAGGCGTGTTCAAGGGGGTGAGGAGGATGTTTGGGGCCACAAGCCAAGCCGGGCGCCCAGAGGGAATTTCCACCTCCCTCTCCACACCTTGCACAACAGCCCCGGCTGCTCAAGGTCCCTTCCCCGCCTCTGAAAGGCACCAGCCCTCGGGGAGGTTCATTTAAGAGGCAATAAACAGAGCAATAAAAATAACCCTGGGCTCCAGGCCCTGCCTCTGCCCCGGCGTGGGCAGCTGGAGCCCCAGGGGCCCGAGGGCAGGGAGCTCTGGGAATGGGATCCTGCCAAGGAAGATTTGCACCTTGTGGAGCACTCGGGGCAGGAAAGTCTCACCCGGGTGCTAAGGCAGCTCCCAGCTCTGGCTGGGCTGGAACAGCCCTGCTGTTCCCTGGGAAATGCTGACATTTGGAAAAATGAGGCGATTCTGCACTGCGAGGAGGGATCTGCATTTTGACATTTCTTTGAAGTGGATTTCATTTGGAAGCATTCCCTCCTCGAGCTTGTTTGGATGCCTCTCTGTCCCCATTAGTGCTGCAGATGGTCATTGCAATGCTCCAAAATGAGCTTTAAAAAGCCTCAGGAACCACAGCACCTCAAATCCTCCCTCTGAGTGCTGCTAACAGCCCACCCAACCCCACTTTTCCCCAGAAATTGAGATGTTTCAAGGCAAATATTCTCCTTTTGCAACAGGAAATGTGTGCATGGGAGGGGTCCCGCTCCCAGCCCTGGCTGGGCTGGATTTGGTCCCACAGGCTCCATCCCACCACAGCCTCCTGCTCTGGCTGCCTCAGCCCCGCAGGGTTTGGGCTGAATCACAAACTCTGTTTTCCCCTCAAAGCAGCATCCAAGGTCAGCCAAGGTCGGTGAAAGCTCATCCAACACAAGTCCAGGCTCTGCTCAGCTGAATCCAACTGAATTTGGGGATTCATGGTGAGCTCCTCTTCCTTCCCATGGGAAGCTCAGGTCCAGCCCCCTCCTGAACCTTGAGCAAGAGATTAATGATGGGTCTAAGAGGAGTGTGAGGGTGTGGGGAAGGTCCCATCCCAATCCTGGGCCCATCCCTAGGTTCAGCCAAACAGGAGGGACAACCAGGGACGTGTCAGAGGAGCATCAGCCACCGGCACAGCTCCAGGAGGTCCACAAGGCCCAAACCCCACCTGAGAAGTGTAAAAAGACCTTTCCAGCAGGCTCCAGCTCCCCTGAGTGCAAACCCCAGCCCAGACCCCGAACCCCCCAGTTTTGGGGTGAAGGTGCATTTCAGGAGTGACTGCAAACAGCCCAATTTTCTGCCTGCAGATCCAACAGCTGGCAGCCTTTAAATCGCTGCCCTAATCAGTAAATCCCCAGCAGCCCCCCAAGGATTAGAGGCAGATATTTGGAAATCCCACAGGCTCCCAGGACGTGCAGTGTCCTCCCACCCATGAGAGCCAGAGGTGCCCTCGGTACCACCCAACCCCAGAAGCTCCACTGCCACCCCCGGAGGAGCCACACTGGGGACCCCTTTCTGCACCCCTGGATCCTTTTGCTTGAACCCAACTCCATCCTAAAATCCTGCAGGAATTCTGGGCACTTCCCTGGGTGCTGCAGAAGCCCAAATTCTTGTGATTAATTCAATATTCAGAGGATTTTCGACATGGAAAGGGAGGAGGAAGGGTTTGCTCCATGGTCAAGCATTGTCCCCACTCCTGCATCCCAAAAGTCGCACATGGGTGAGAGGGATGGGTCCCAAAGGGTGCCCAGAGGAAGGGAGCCAGCAGAAAACCAGCTCCCACTGTCACCAGAGAGGCTGGGGACATTTCCAGCATTGCTGAAGGGTGACAGGTCTCATTGCTGACCTCCCTGGCAGGAGCCAGGCTGTGGGCAGAGCTGCGACCACTGCAAAGCAGGAATGCCCCATGAACCCATTCCCAGCCAGGAATGGCTGCCCAAAATCACCTCCCAGCTCTCTCCTGCTCCTGTAGGGCCAGGAGGACGGACAGACAGACAGACAGACCTGGCACCCCGAGGGCACAGACAGACGACACCAAACCCCATTTCCTGAAGGAGCCCCGGGCACCACCAGCCCCCTGCTTGGGATCAGATTAAAGTTCAGGCTGGTTTGGAGTTTTCCAAGAACATTATTTATGATGGACGGCCCTGCAGCCGTCCATCAGGGGCTGGCAGCTGTGTGAGGGCAGCTGAGCTGGCTGCCCACAGCCCCCAGGAGAGGGGCACAGAGCCTGGCATCACCCCCAGCCCCACAGGGCACAGCTGAGCTGGCTGCCCACAGCCCCCAGGAGAGGCTGGCACAGCTCCTGGCATCAGCCCCAGCCCCACAGGGCACAGCTGAGCTGCAGGATGTGAGCACCCAGATCTCAGTTTGCAAAGCACATGGCTGCCCCCCTCCCCGTGCCTCAGTTTCCCCTGGTCAGCGAGCTGGCTGCAAGGAGAGGAAGAGGAGGAGCCTGGCCTGGCATCCATGGGCAAAGCACGGGCATGAAAGAGCAGGAGCTGCATCCTGCCACCAAGCCAGGCTGTGCCCCTGCTCTGGGCACAGGCAGCAGCAATGTCAGCTGGCACAGGGTCCAGCAACAGGGCTGAGGGAAGGGAAGGCACAAGGGCTGCCCCAAATGAGGGCTTGGATGTGTCCCCTCGTGGAGAGCTCACACCCAGAGCTTTGCCACAGGAGGTGTCACATGAGGTGCCAGCTGTCACCAGGTCCAGCCCCTCTGCCAGACCCCAGGTTTTGGGGGTCCCACGGCCCCAAGGGTGGCTGTGGCTGGGGGGGCTCAGAGGCTGCAGGGACAGGCGGGCACAGCCCCCAGCCCTGCCAGCCCCGCTGCCACTCCGGGACACGGCTGCACTTCCAGGCACTCCCGTGGTTAAAGGCGGCAGCTCAGCCCTCGTTAGATAACACAGGCTGTCCCTCTGATCTCCCGGGGCAGTGACACCCCTGTGACACCCCTGTGACACCCCTGGCCCAGCGGCTCCTGCCTGTCCCCGGCTCTGTCAGTGCCACCCCTCCTGTCCCTGCCAGGGCCTCCCGCCTTGGCACAGGGGACAGGCAGCTCATGGGGCACCGGGCCACTCTGCAAGGACAGCTCAGCCCCGGAGGGAGCCAGGAGCACCACAGGGACCTGCGGGAACCCAGGGGGATCTGGAGAAACCCCAGGAACCGAGCGATGCCATGGAGGAGCCAGTGGGAGCACCTGGAGAGAGCTGGGGCATCCCCAAGGAGCTGGATGGAGGCAGGGGGGGCAGAGAAACACCAGAGACACCACGGGGGACCCCACAGAGCCCGGAGGAGATGGGGAACAGGGAGACACTCGGGGGGACCCCAAAACTCGTGGGGGAAATGGGGCACCGGGAGGAACCCCAGAAATTCTGGAGGAAATGGGGCACCAGGAGGGATCCTGGAGGAGCTGGGGCACCCACAGACACCCGGGGGGTTCCATGGGGGAATCCAGGGAAGATGCGAACCCGCAGGAGCTGGGACACCTGGAGAGCCCCGGCAGGGGATGGGGCAGGCGGGGAGCGCGGGGGCTCTCACCGATTTGGGTTTCTTCTTGGGGGCGAGGTTGTCGTAGAAAGCCTTGGCTTCATCCCAGGGCCGGCCCGGCGCCCCGGCGGGGCCCGGCGGCTCCATGGCCCGGCGGCTCCGGGGCACCGGCGGCAGCGGCGGCTCCGCTCCGTGCGCGGCTCCGCTCCGCGCGTCCCGGCAGCTCCCGGAGCCGGGGCCGGCCCGGCGGAACGCGCTTTATATGGCATCCCATGAAGCTCCGGGCTTTCAGTCCACCGGGACACGCGTTAACCTCTTCGGGACCGAGCGCTCCTCGCCGCCGCGCTCCGCCCGGTGACACCGGGGAGCTGCGGGGAACTGAGCGGGGGAGCCCCCGCTCCGGGGCACAGAACGGCCGGGAGCGAGGGGAAGGGGCTGGCGACAAAGGTGGCATCAGCGGGACACGGAGCGGGAGCGGTGGGGCAGCTCTGGGGACGCTGCTCCGTGCCCGGTTGGTCGCTGCTCCTGCTGTCCCCAGGGTCTGGGGTTGGGGCATCCTTGGGAGCACAGGGGGGACGCTCAGGGAGGACAGAGGGGTGGTGGGACCCCGCTCCGTGCCAGGGTGACCTGTGCCGTTCGCTGGTTCATGGTGATTCCGTGGTGCGGGTGTTAATTAAGGCTCTGCTCTGCCGGGAGTGCTGGTGGGAGCAGCCGCAGAGCCGCACGCTCAGCTCAGGTTGAAAATTCCACCGCCGTCAGCAGCCCCCCAGAAACCCTTGGGGAGCAGGGGGTGCATCCCAGAGACCAAAACCCAAAAGCCAGGAAGGGGCAAGGGATGGAGATCTCACAGGACAAGGTTTTACCCAAATCCCTGTGCTCCAGCTAAAGGAAAACCCTCCCTACAGACCACAGCCCTGTATGGTCCATAAGACCGATCCAACACCGAGGTCCAAACGGGGAGAGCAGAGCCCTCTGTGTGCCGGTGAGCAGGGCTGGCACCAGCAACCCCAAACCCTCTGGGAATTCAGCATCGTTTCAGCCTCACAGATTTCCTTTCCCCAGGGCCTTTGCAGCTCCTGCTGGGGAACACCTGAGCTTCCTTCGGGGTGCAATGAGGGAGCTTGGCGGGCTCCAGGATCACCGGGCTATTCTTGGAGTTCTCTCTGGAGCTTTTGAGTTGCTGCCCTTTCAGGCAGCAGCCCTGGCACGTCCCCAGCTCCTGCAGGGTGGGAGAACCTTCCCTGTTCCCTCTTCCCCAGGCACTGCTGAGCTGCAAACTCACACGTGCTCCTGGAAAGCACAGCGGCCAAAGCCGAGGGGCAGAGCTCTGCCATCAGCAGCTCTCCTAAAAATACCCTCCCTGCCGTGGTTTTGGCACCCTCCCATCCCGTGCTGGACACACCAAAGGCTGGGGAATTGCAGGGTGCAGGTGGGATGGGGTGAGCTGGGAGCCAGCCCTGCCAGATTGGTTCCAGAGAAGGATTAAAATTTGGTGAGAGCTCCTTAGCAACAGTCACTGTCTGTGCAGGCTGCTGCGGGAGAGGAACGGCCGGAGGAAAATCTGGGCTGGGAAGATGGGGGTGGAGGAAAGAAGGACAAAGATGCACAGAGAGCAGGGCCCAGCTGCTGACAGGTGGAGCCCAGGACAAAGCCACCAGCCCTGAGGGAAGGGCACAGCCAGGGCCAGCTCCTGGCTGGCAAAGGAGACCCATTTCCAGAGAGGTTTGGGCTCTGGGGCTCCCCACCCCAAAAGGGACATTCTCTTCCCCAGAGCTGCCTGCACCACTGAAGGGTTTCAGCCTCCAAGGCTCCCCAGCCTGTGCTGTCCCCAAGGGTTTCTCCACCCCTTGGGGTGTCACAGGCTTGGATGAGACCCCTAAAATATTCTCAGCAGTGCAGTGCTGTCACCTCACTGTCCCCAATAAACCATCCAGAGGGGGGCACCACACACAGGGAACAGTTTATTTTTCCCTTAAAAAAATAAGTAAGGACTTCACCATCTCCTAACAGACACCACAGCCACCAACACCACAATGTGCGGACGAAACACTGACCTGGGACAGGAGGGGTGGATGCAGCAGGCTGGGAGCAGGGAGGAAGGAGACAGATTTGTTTCTTGTGGCCTCAGAGCCTTTCCAGGAGGCTCAGCAGGAACAGGACCCATCCACACCTCCCCAGAGCCCCCATCCAGCTGTCCCCACAGCAGTGCCACGCACCCAGGAGCAGCACCAGGACCTGCCTTCCACACCCACAGCCCTGAGCCTGCCTCCAGCTTGGCACTGCAGGCCTCACCTCCGTTTCCAGGAGGGTCAGAAATGCCACAGAGCACCCAGGGCAGATGGGGACATGACCCACCTGATGGGATGGAGGGTGGCTGCTGGGATGGGACATCCAGGGCTGGCTTTGGACACTTCTGTTCTCTGCTGGAGTGTCCTGACCATGCCTGGCTGTTCCCAGCAGGGAAAATAGAGGTGGAAGAGCTAAAGCTGGTGCAAGACCCTGCCCTGGCCTCTCCAGGCAGCCTTCCAGGGAACTGCCAGTGAAGGAAGGACCAGGAGCAGGACCTGGGGCTTTTCAGCCTCCCTGGAGACTTCACAAGCCAAGAAGTGGGGAGAAAACAGCAGAAATGGGACAGAGCTGGTCTCAGTTAGGAACAGGGAATGGGGCAGGTGGAGCAGTGGGGGAAAGCAGGGAGAAAGCAGCAGGGATGTGGGAACAGCTGGCCCTGGTCAGCCAGGACACACCAGGGGCTGCAGGGCATCCATCTCCAGGCTGGGAGAGGGCTGACAGTGCTCAGAGCAAGCTCTGACCTCCAGGGTGTGCAACTGCCCAGGATGCAGCCGGAGCAGGGGCAGCAGGAGGGATGGAAGGTGGCTCATGCCTGGGGCCAAATGGGGGGAAAAAGGGGGAATTGAAACCATCACAGGGGGCAGAGTTTGGCTGCAGCCAGTCCAGCCCTGAGCACCAGGGCTCTATTTTTGCATGTCACACTGCAGGAGCAGGACGATGGAGGGGTCGCTCTTCGCGGCCTCCTTGAACTCCTCCAGGGAGATCTGGTCGTCCTTGTCCTTGTCCATCTTTGTGAAGATCTTGTCCACTCGCTGCTGGGGGGTCAGCCCGTCCTGGTTCATCCTCATCATGATCACAGTCCCCACCATCTTGTAAATGGCCTGGAGGAGGATGAGAGCGGGAATCAGAGGGAATGTTGGAAGGACTCAGAGCCCAAGACAAGGCAGGGGATGGGGACAGGGTTGCTGCTCTGTTGGGACCCTGTTCTACCAGATCCACATCAAGCACCTTTCAGACAAGGCTCTGCGCCACAGAAACATTTTATGAAAAATCCTTTCCTTAGGATTGCTCCTCCTGAGAAGCTGAGAGGCCTCAGGAACAAAATGTAACCAATGGTTATCTGCTGTTGTGGGATGCAACAGGTGCATCTGGGATTGGGCTCATGTGGTTGTTTCTAATTAATGGCCAATCACAGCCCAGCTGGCTCAGACTCTCTGTCTGAGACACAAGCTTTTATCATCATTCCATTCTTTTTCTATCCTTAGCCAGCCTTCTGATGAAATCCTTTCTTTTATTCTTTTAGTATAGTTTTAATATAATATATATGATAAAATAATAAATCAAGCCTTCTGAAACATGGAGTCAGATCCTCATCTCTTCCCTCATCCTCAGACCCCTGTGAACAGGGTCACAGCTCTGGGTAGGAAAATTCATTCTTTGGTGCTAAAAGGGACCCCATATGTGTGAAAAGCCTGGGGAAAGCAAACAATCCCTGCTGGTTTGAAGCTCTGGTACCTCAATGATCTCCAGCATCTCCAGGCGCGTGATCTTCCCATCCCCGTCCAGGTCATACATCTCGAAGGCCCAGTTGAGTTTCTGCTCAAAGGTGCCCCTGGAGGTGACAGACAGGGCACAGATGAACTCCCTGAAGTCGATGGTGCCATCCCCGTTCTTGTCAAAGGTGCGGAACGCGTGCTGGGCAAACTTGGAGGCGTCTCCATAGGGGAAAAACTGCGGGAAGGAGAGAAGAGGAATGGAAATGAGGAGGGGGAGCTCGGCATGGAGGCTGCTCCAGCCCCCCAGGCAGCACTCAGAGCCCCAGCTGGAGCCCACCTTGATGTAGAGCTGCTGGAACTCCTCCAGGTTGAGGATGCCGGTGGGGCAGTCCTTGAGGAAGCCCTTGTACCACTGCTTCAGCTCCTGCTCGCTGAACTCCGTGCTCCTCACCAGGTCATCCAGCATCTCCGGGGCCAGCTTGCTGCTGTGCTTGCCCATGGCTGCCCCCTGGAAAGGAAAATCCACACCAGGCTGGAGAGGGATGCTCCTCCCAGGCCCTCATGCAGCCTGGATGATCCTGCATCCCTCTTCTCCTTGCTGGAGCTGATCCACCTGCCTGATGGGTGTCCATGAAGGACAGCAGCTGTTGCAATGGAGATGTGGCTTTGGCCTTTGCTCCTGGAGGTGTACAGGAGCTGGCCTTGGGACAGCCCACCAGGGCAGCCATCAGCATCACCCCATCCCCTGGATTCATTTTGGGCTGAAGGAAAACACTCAGAAAGCAACTGAAAACTCAGAACTCCTCCCATTGCCTTTGCCAGAGCACGATCACAGAATGCTAGAATGGTTTGGGTTGGAAAGGACCTCATTTGGCTCCAGCCACACTGCCATGACAAGGAACACCTCTGACCAGCCCTTCTCCAAGGATGGGACAACAAAGAAGCTGCTAGTAGGGCACATAAAAATGTCCCTGGCACCACAGGCCGTGCAGCATCCAGCTGGCCAGAGAGATGCCAATCCTCCTCCTTGGGGAAGACGGGGTCTGTAAGGCTCCATTTACTGCTTCAGGCTAGGGTTACTCCTGGGGTTAGGGCTTAGGGTTACACCAGGGGTTAGGGTTTGGAAACCACAAGGCCCAGAGCTCCAGGCACACCCCAGCTGCCAAAGGCATCCCAAGTAGAACACAAAACTGCCAAAATACGGCTTCCACCACAGCTTTTTCCTTGGAACCAGCCTTAGCCTAAGGCTGCTATTCCTGCCTAGGGTTAGGGTTTAGGGTTATACCTAGGGTTAGGGTTTGGAAACCACAAAGCCCAGAGCTCCAGGCACCCTGCAGCTGCCAAAGGCATCCCAAGGGGAACCCAAAACTGCCACAACATGGCTTCCACCACAGCTTTTTCCTTGGAAGCAGCCCCGGTCCGTGGTGTGCAGCAGCAGCAGGGAGCCCTGGCAGGCCCTGGCTGTGTGGGCAGTGAGCAGAGCCCGCTCCAATACGCGCCGTGCCCGCTCCCACGCATCCCCGGCTGCCAGCGCCGCTCAGCCCGAGCAGCAGATGGTTCTCCGGGAGCTCCTGGAGCTTCTCTCTCCATGAAGTTGAGGAGAAGTTCACCTGGAGCCCAACCAAGCGCCGTGTCCTCCCTGGGATTTGCTGTGCTGGCTGTGCTGGCCAGGGGCACACGGGGGGACCCTGGGATGGGGGATGTGGGGTTCCTCGTGCTCCCAGCAAATCCCACAGGCAGCAGCTCCTTCCTGCCCCATCATCCCACCAGCATCTGTCACCGTCTGCCGTGGAAGCACGGAGCCCAACCAGCCCTGGCAGCCCCAGGAGTGTCCAGACACCCACAGAGCACGAGGCTTCCCCAGCGACCCCAGCTCAGCTCCACAAACCCCCCTGGCACTGTGGTCTGGCTCGAAATTGCTGGCATTGATCATAAACCATGCCAGGCACTCTACACGGGCAGATCTGCCATGATCCAAGTCCTCCCACGGATGGAGGATGCAGTGGCTGGGACTCCAGAGCAGCATCCTGAGCTCCACAGCCCTCAAATCCCTTTTCCAAGCAGCGCCCAGCCATGCCAGGGCAGGGGACAGCGCCCAGGAGGGAACCACACGCTCACCCCAAAGCACCAATAGTTCAGCAGCTGCTGCTCCCAAAACCGGACAGAGGGGAGGCACTACGGGTGTCCCCCCCAGCCTGCAGCAGCGCCCCTGGATGGCACCCAGGGAGCAGGGACGGGCCCCGGGGCTGGGTGGGGGCTCGGGGATGCTCTCCCCACCCGCACCATGGGACGGCTCCGGGCCACCGGCCCCGACCCCCGCTGGAAGCGGCTCCCGGGAGCATCTCCCGGCACCTGCCCCGACGGCTGAACCGCGTCCCGGCCCCGCGGGTGCGGCTCCAGCCCCCAGCCCTTACCTGTGCTGCGGCGCGGGCAGGCGGCGGCTCGGCGGGGCCGGGCGGGGCGCGGAGCCGCTGCCGGTACCGGAGGGGCCGCGGTCCAGCCGCCGGCTCTGCCCGCGCCGCTCCCGCCCCTCTTGTAGCCGCGGGCCCCCCGCCCCCCCGGCGGCGACGCTCGTCCATTGGCTGGGAGCGCTGTCAATCAGGCGGGAGGGGCCGGGGGTGGGGGTCGAGGTGGGATACTGGGGGGTACTGGGATGCTGGGAGGGGAAATGGGGCCGGGATGCGGGGACCGGGGCAGTGGGATCCCGGGGATGCCGCCCCCTCACCGCCTGCCCTGGGGACACTGGGACACGCCAGGGGCTCATGGCTTGGCACAGGCACGGCTGAAGCACACAGGAGACAGGGACAAGAAAACCACTTTGATCTCCAGAACCAAACGTGGAATGTTTCCATGGAGATCGCCGAGCGCTTTTCCCGGTGACCTTGGCGTCCTGCTGTGATCCCAGGGACACTGGGCCCGTCCGAAGCTGCCCCTCTGCATCTGCTGCCCACTGGGCCTGGATGAAGTCTTTGGCCAGCCAGGGCTGCTCCCCATCCCACTCCATCCCATCCCACCCCATCCCATGGATCCCATCCCATCCCATGGATCCCATCCCACCCCATCCCACCCCATCCCATCCTATGGATCCCATCCCATCCTATGGATCCCATCCCACCCCATCCCACCCCATCCCATCCTATGGATCCCATCCCATCCCATGGGTCCCATCCCATCCATCTCATCCCCAGTGGGCTGTGGGGTGCCATGGGGTGCTCAGCCCTTCTCCAAGGCAGCTGCCCTCAGGTGCACCCACCTTTTCTGCACTGGGGGCTGCAGGAAGCAGCAGAAAATGCCCCAGCTGCAGGTGACACAGGGCTGGGTTACAAAAACCACGAATATTTGTGGGGCTTTTTGTAGCAGTGGGGCTGAAGGGCTTCATCCTCCTCCCCTCCAGGGCTGGACGTGGCATCCTTGTGCCATGTCCCCGGCCAGGGCTGGACCCCACCTGGAATGAGGCGATTCTGCCCCACGGATTTTGGGTCACCTCCACAGCCTCTGCTGGGCTCCGTGTGGCCCCAAAGCCTCTCCGTGAGCGTCCCCGAGAGCCGGGGGAGGGATGAGCCCCCCCGGCCCCTCGGGCGGTTCTGGGATGTGGAGTAGAGAAGACACCAATTAGCAGCTCTGCAAACCGCCCGTGCCCGGGCTGCTCCGGGGGACTGAAAAATTAATGAGGGCTTAATTGAAGCAGCGCAGGCTGCCAGGGCTGAGAGCGGCCCGGCTCAGCCCACGGGAAGGGGGAGCCGGAGGGGCTGGGAGAGGCAGGGGAGCCCCAGGGATGCCCTTGGGATGAGGATCAGGGTGACGGTGTGGTCCTGGGATGTCCCTTTTGGGGCCCTGACACCCCAAGCCGTGGTGCTGGGGGTCGTGGAGGGCTGACCACACGGACAGAGCACCCACTGGAGCACCCAGCTGAGCCCAGCACCCAAACTGGGGCACCCCAAAACCTGCATGAGCCCGGGTCCGAATGGGATATTGGCCCTGGGTTTGCAGAGGGGACAACAGGGTGTCTGGAGGGGACAGAGCCGTGCGGGCAGCGCTGGCTCAGCCACAGCTTTTCCCTCCCCACTCCTGCAGCAGCATCCCCCAACACCCCAACACCCACCCGCGGGGCGCGGAGCTGTCGGGGCGCTGCCCGTTCCTGAAAACCTCCAAAACCTCCCCATGCAGCGGCTCCGAGGAATGCACAGGGCTGCAGCTTCCCCCAGCGGCTGCGGGCGGCAGCAGCACGGCCCGGGGGGCTGTGCCCGATGGGGGAGACCCCGCAGCCCCCTCTGCCTCTGCAGCCCCCCACAAACGGCGGGGGGCTTGGGGAGCAGGAATCACGGCTGCTTACCCCAGACTCCCGACAGCTCCTGTCCCTCAGCCAGCGGTGACGCTGCCGGTGCTCGGGGCACTGCCAGCCCCTCCGAGACCCCCCCCAGCACAAAATTGCCTGTAAAGGAGTGAGGAGCTGTTGTCACTCACCCCATGGCCCTGAGGGACAGCTCTGGGTGCCACTGGGCAAGGGGTGACCCTAACACTGGGGGTGCCTCCTGATGTCCCCACTGTCATGCCCAGCGCTGGCCTGGGAAAAGGGGGGAGTTGGGGTAGAAAAGCAGAAATAGCCCAATTTGGGGGTTCCTTTCCTCCTTCATCACCCCTGAGGGAACAGCTCTGTGCCGGTTCTTCCCCCCAAACCCTTTCTGCCCCGTCCTGGGGGAGCTGGTGAGGCACAGAAGGTGCTGCCTGCCCCAAACAGGGGTCCCGGCACGGGGGTCGGGTTTGTCCTCGCTGCGGTGGCACCAGGTGGGGTCGGTGCTTGTCCCCCTCCCCCGAGAGGGGACCGGGCCAAGCGGCGCCACCCACAGGCTGGGGCAGGAGCAAAGGAATGTTTGGATTTTCCCTCCCCCTTGCGTGAGCTGGGTCTGGCTCTGATGTGGGGCGACCCTCTCGATGTCCCCGCATCCCCCAAACCCAGCGAGCAGCACGCAGACCCCTCTCCCCGCCAGGCCGCAGCGCTCTGCCGGCCGGCACGCAGGGGGTTAAACATCCCCGTCTCGCTCACACTTGAGACGTCACCGTCACCAGTGGCGTGGGGGGGCCGGGGGGCTATGGTGGTCTTTGTGGTGCATTCGGCAGCTGGCGCAGGGCGGCTCACGCACACGGCGGGCGGCTCGTCCCGCAGCACCCGCGCACTCCCGACCGCCGCCACCGCCTGCCCACGCCGCGGGCTCCCACGGCCACGGTGAGCGCGGGGACAGGGCTGCCAGCAGGCCCGGGGACAGGGCAGGGCGGGGGGCGTCCCCCGGGGACCCCGCCGAGAGCCGCCCCTCTCCGCGCTTTGCAGCCCCGGGAGCGGGGATGGAGCGCTGGGCGCCGCGGGGCTGGGCGCTGCCGGGCTGGGCGATGCCGGGCTGGGCGCTGCCGGGCTGGGCGATGCCGGGCTGGGTTCGCCCCACCCGGGGCTGCTGCAGGGTCCCCGGAGGGTGCGGGCGCTCGGTGGGTGCTGCGGCTCGGCTCCCGGCAGGCGGCCCTGCGGTAAATGCGCGGCTCAGCCGCAGCCGCAGCCGGGCACGGGGGAGCCCCCGCAGCCCCCGGCCCCACTCGAGGGGGGCTCGGCTCCCTCATCCCTCCGGACACGGAGCTGCCCGAAGCGGGGAGGGGGTACCGCGCCGGGACCCCCAGCTCCACCCTGCCGCGGTTGATCCTGGGGTGGGATCTGGCCCCCGCACCCCCATTCCCGGCATGAGCTGTGCCCCCCCCCCAACCATGGAAAATCCTTCGGGCACCGCTCGCCCGAGCCTGCGGCGGCTGCGGCGGCGCCGGCGCGGCCATGGGCGGGGGGCAGCGGCCGGCGGGGCGCGGCGGCGGCGGGGGGCACCCGGTGGGCACCGGGCGGGCGAGGGGCTGCGGGGAGCGGGGCCGGGTCAAGGGGAAGGGGCAGGGAGCCCCCGGCCGGGGCTGCGGCGCTGCACCAGGCTGCGGTGCCCAGGGCGATGCTGCAAAGGCACACAGCCCCAAAACGGTGACACGGAGTGGCCTGAGCCCGGGGACATCGCTGCCCCTCCGGGCACTGCCGGCTCGGGGGAGGGATGCTCCTGGATGCAGGATTTGGTCCTGCCTGGAGCAGGAATGCGGGCTCAGCGCCCCGGCTGGGTTGTCCCCATGGAGGTGACACCGCCGTGGGTCCCCGTGGGGCAGGATGCTCGTGGGGAGCAGGGGGAGGCGGCGCTGCGGGAACAGGGGCAGGGTCTGGAGCGGGGCTGGGGTGCAACGAGGCCACCGCAGGGAGGGACAGGAGCCGGGGCCACCTCGGGTGTGGCTGGGGACAGGGAGCCGGCTGTTCCCAGCCCTCCTGTGGCAGCGCGTTCCTCTGCGAGCGCTGCCGGTTTGGGGGTGACTCTCCCAGCGGATTTGGGGTGCACAATTCCCCCAGTTCAGCAGTGAGCAGCCTGCATTGGGGGGAGCCCCTCGCCCTCTCCCGCAGCCCCCCTGGGAGGGATGTGCTGTTGCCCCCCGGGCCAAGTGTCACTGGGGGGTTTAAGCACCTGGGACCAAGGAAAAGGGGTAAAACAGGGGCTGAACCCCAAGGGGAGCCCCCCTTACCCCAGCCCCAGGGGCTGCAGCAATCCCCAAACCAGCCCCTGGCACCAAACCCCTGCACCACGGCTCTGGGGTCACCCCGGGGTGTCCTCACACCGGGGACCCACCCGTGCCCCTTCCCTGGGCACAGGCAGAGTTCAGCAGTGACAAATCCCAGCCCCAAGCTGCCCGTCAAGGACAACGGTGGCACAGGCACGAGGACGCCCGCACGCCGGTCACAGCCTGTGTGCCAGGGCCAGGGGCCAATCTCCCACCCCAGGGACCCCCCTGGCACCCCAGGGACCTCCCAGCACCCTTTAAAAACAGCCCAGTGCTCAGCAGGATGAGCCTCGGGGTCACTGCACCAGAGCAGCTCTGGGTGTGTTTGGTGTACCCCAGTTACCCCAAAATCCAGCTGTGTTCAGGTTTGTGCAGCCCCAGTGCAAAGCCAGCACTTAGTGGGCCTGGGAGGAGGAGGAGGAGGAGGAAGGCAGAGCCATCACTGTTGATGCCAAGGGTCTGTGCCGGGCTGGGGGGGCACAGCCCCATTCCAGGCACGAGGCCACCCCATCCCTCCCCTGCTGCTCCAGCTCTGCCTCTCCCCTTCCCCAGCCTCATTAATTAAACCCCAGCGCTTAATTACAACCTGCTGAGTCCCGTGGCTGCTTCCTGGTGCCTGCTGACACCGTGGGGCCAATCCTGACCCCCTCCATCCATGTAGGAAAGGTGGGGTGCAGGGAATTGGGGGAGAGCCCCGTTGCCTGCAGGATTTGGGTTGTGGCTCATCGGCAGCGTAAAGGGATCTTCACACAACGCTCAGGAAAGAGCAAACCCAAGCACTGGAGCTGGCAAAGTCATCCCTGGGGATCTTGGCCTCTCCGAGGAGGGATGGGGACAGATGGCTCCACTCTGGGGTTGTCCCCGAGCTGCTGGCAGGTCCCACAAGGGGTGATGAGGGACAGGGGATGCTCAGCCCGATGCCTGCTGAGCTCCCGGTGCCAGTAAAATCAACCAAGAGAAATAAGGTGAAGGCTGGTGGCAGCAGGAGATGGAGGGGACATCCAGTGTCCCACTGTGCTTCCCCTCCTGGTCACCCACCCATGGGTCCCCAGGACAGGGAGGTGCCCAGGGGGTGCCCTGACCCTCCTGCCCTCCTGCCCACAGGTCCTTGCTGGCCCATGAAGTGACCCGGGCGGGTGGCACAGCCCCTGCTCCTGCCGTAGCCACCGCTGCCACACCAGGCACTGAGGTAAGGACCCGAGGGCAGGGCTGTGGGGTGGGTGGGATGCTCTGGCACGGGCAGCAGAGCCCCAAACAGGGTCTGTGGGGCACAATTCCCATTGGGGTCTTCCCCTGTCCATGGGGGATGCCCAGCCCCATAACCCAGGGGAATGCCATGACACCATGGGGCAGCCCCCCATCCCTTGGGGATGCCAGGGCTGGGGAATTGGGGTGTCTCAGGGGTGGCAGCCTGGCCAGGGCTGCCCCAGGAGCACAAGGCCCTCACCCCTCTTCCCTTCCCACCTCTGGAGCTGTCAGAAGTGCTGGGAGAGCTGTCACATTCCAGGGAATGCTCACGGCTGTGTGCCCAGCCAGGAGGAATCGGGGTGGGCACAGGGAGGTGCTGTGGTGGTGGCCCCTGGGGACTCAGGGGTGTCATGGTGGTGGCCCTGGGGACTCGGGGGTGCTGGGGTGTCTGGCTGGTGTCCCCTGGGGGCTCAGGGGTGCTGGGGTGTCCAGCTGGTGGCACCGGTGCTGTTCCACTCTGTTCTGTTTCTCTCGCTCAGGTCTGCTGGCCATGGGCAACCTGATAAAGGTATTGGGCAAAGATTTAGAAAACTGTCCTCATTTTTTCCTGGATTTTGAAAGTAAGTCCCATGAGCAGGGTGGGCATGGGGAGGGCGCCAGGGCTGCCACCGCAGCTGCTGTCCAGAGGATGGGGACAGCCACAGTGTCCCCAAGCAGCCCCATGTCCTCAGGTGCTTTGGGGCCCTGAAAAAGTCTCCAAAATGGGGCAGAGTTCTGGGACTCCATCCCTCAGAGTGGGGCAGATGTCCTGGCAGAGTGGTGGGATGCAGGATGCAGCAGGCACACACCCAGTGCTGTTAGCTGATGTCCCTGACTGTGCCAGGACAGGGACAGCCTGCGGGCTGGGAAAGGAGGAGAGAGTGATCCAGGGGGAGGGAGTGATCCAGGGGGAGGGAATGATCCAGGGGGAGGGAATGATCCAGGGGGAGGGAGTGATCCAGGAGGAGGGAGTGATCCAGGAGGAGGGAGTGATCCAGGGGGAGGGAGTGATCCGTGCCACCTGCACTGCTGGGAAGGTCAGTGCGGCAGCTGCAGCCTGCACCGAGGGAAGGGGAGCAGGGACCTGCCTCAGCTTCCCGTGGATCAGGGCTGAGGGCCAGGAAAGGACAGCCCTGGGCCTCCCAGGCTGGGCACGGCGGGGGCAGGATGCCAGGCCAGGCACAGCCCCAGGGCTCCCCTGGCTCCTGCAATTCCTCCCAGGGCACAGCTCAGAGCAGGATTGAGGAGGGTGAAAAGAGTGCAGTGGCATCTGCCCGCCCCAGCTCCATCCCCAGCGGATGCACAGCTCCCCGCACCACCTCTGACTCCAGCACCCCCCAAAACACCCAGGGCTGGGGTCACACAGCCCCCCACTCCCACGGCGAGGAACCTTCCTGCTCCTCCTGGCTCCTTTGAGGCAGCACAACCTTCTCCTGCCTCCAGCCCCCTCCACAGCCCCCCGGCACAGTTCTGGGGGCTCCCCAGGACCCCTCTGCGCTAGAGTAGGGGTTTGGCTGTAGCCAAACTCCAGGGACTTCAGGGATTTCTCGGCGGCTTCTCCTCCCTTCGCTCCTCCCTCTCCATCACCCATCCGCCAGCGCTCATCACCATCGGGGGGGAAGAGGCTGCACCCGGGGCCGGGAGCGGCTGCGGGGTCACCCCCGGAGCCCCCGGGGAGCAGCGGGGGGAGGACGGGGCTCCGGCCGCCGCCGCTGCCCCCAGCCCAGCACCTCTTCCCCGGGCTCCACCTCACCATCATGCTTTTTTCCTCTTGTTTCTTCTCTTGCAGGTTTCACATGGGGAACCTTCTAAAAGTGTTGACTTATAACGAACTTGACCAAGGCCCTAATTTTTTCCTTGACTTTGAAAGTGAGATGGGATTTTTATTTTCCGTTTTCGTTCCGTACTTAATCCTGAGTTCCACATCCACACCATTTTGAGTTCTTTGTCCCCAGTCGCCCATCGCATCGCGCCCATCCCAGACGTCCTCCCCCACCTTTGCCATCCGGGGGTGTCCCCGGGGAGGGGGGCCAGGCCCGTGGCCGGGGGCTGTCGCTCCTCACCTCTCCCTCCGGGGCTCTTTGCAGCCCCTTGGGGCCGAGGGGATCCCTCGTGGTGAGCAGCACCGCGGGCACAGGGCAGCCAGGACTCACCCCCAGCCGCCCCCCGCTCCACGGCTTGACTTGAGCTGGGGCAAGGAGAACGGAGCAGGGGCAAATACGGCCAGGAAGGGCTGCGGGCCGGCGGGGGAGCCGCGGCCGGGGGTGCTGGCACCCCGCTCTGGCTCTGTCCTCCCCGGGCCCCGCTCAGAGCCCTCCGGGTTTCTCTCCCCGGGGCGCTGCCCTGCAGATGCGCAGCCCACGGAGGCCGAGACGGCGGTGTGGAACCAGGTGAACGCCGTGCTGGAGGAGGCGCAGACCATCCTGGCCGAGCTGCAGTCCTACACGGGCGCCGGGCAGGAGATCCGAGAGGTGGGTGCTGTTTTGCGGAGATAATCAAAACTCGACAACTTTTGTGAAAGTTGTAAAGCTGGTATGTGTCGCAGGCATCTTTTATGGAAAATCCTTTCCTTAGGATTTTCCCTCCTGAGAAGCTGAGAGGCCTCAATAAAAAATTTAAACATTGATTATTTGCTGCTGTGGAATGCAACAAGTGGATCTTTGATTGGCCCATGTTGGATGTTTATAATTAATGGTCAATCACAGCCCAGCTGGCTCGGACAAGGAGTCCAAGCCACAAACCTTTGTTATCATTCCTTCCTATTCTATTCTTAGCCAGCCTTCTGATGAAATCCTTTCTTCTATTCTTTTAGTATAGTTTTAATGTAATATATATCATAAAATAATAAATCAAGCCTTCTGAAACATGGAGTCAGATCCTTGTCTCTTCCCTCAACCTGAGACCCCTGTGAACACCATCACAGGTGTGTTTATTACAGCGCTGGACGCATGTGGGAATCGTTCCCCTAAAATGTCATGCGTACTTCTGGGAACTTCAGGTCTCTTCTTACCCCCCTCTCAAATACATATGCGTACAATTTCACAATAGGTTCATACATATTCATTTTTACGAATTTCGAGTGACATTTGCCGCTAGTTCTTCTTTATCAGAAAGAATTCCTAGGTCAGGTTGAGCTGCTCTCACAGCAGTCTCTGTCTCTCTCTATCACCCTCTGTCTCTCCCCCCCATATCTTTGTCTTTCACTGAAGCAGTTTCTCTGAGCCTAGGCCTTGCAGTCAGGCTACATAGCTATGCTTTCTAACCACAGACTCGACTCAAAAACGTACATTTCACCTAAATCAAAATGGATTTCTACCCTGGAAAATTTCCCCTCTGCCTCAGCGCAGCCCCGGTGCCCGCTGCCCGCACACCTTCTGGGGCTCGGGGCAAGCGCTGGCGCCCTCCCTGTAGGAGCATCAGGGGTAGCACGGTCAGGACAGATGGAGATGAGAGATCTCTGCAGCCAGGTCGTGGAACTTGGGGTTTATTGCAAAGGGCCTGGGTGCAGGGCCCTGCTGGGAGCTGCCAGGCACAGCTCAGAGCAGGACTGAGAGAAGAGAGGGGGAGAGAGGATGAGAGGGTGAGAGAGCAAAAGCGTAAGAGAGTAAAAGGCAAGGGAGCGAAGTTCCTGTTACAATACAATAAATCATCTTCTGTGTTGAACATTCTGATTCTTACGAACCAATCTAGTAAAATATACAAATTATATAGCATTTCTATACAGCCTATAAGAATCACTACATTACCATACTGTGCTACATTTTAAACCCTAAAAACTCCTCTTTGGGCCCCTTCTGCCAAGCTGCCAGGGTCTGCTCAGACCCTTGGACCTGCCTGCAAGCAGAGGGTGTTGTTTCATCAAAAGGGGATCACCTTCAGCTGGCCATGCCATTGTTTTCTCATTGTTCAGTAACTAAAGTATCTCAAGGCTTGCTTTCATTTCAATCTCGCTTATAGTTTCCATATTCTCAAAATCTTTTGCCAGACAATCATATTTATGAGGCTCTCCTGTTTCATCTTCCCCAACACTCCCCTCGCAGGCCATCCAGAACCCCGGGGACCTGCGGCTGCAGGAGCGCGCCTGGAGCGCCGTGTGCCCCCTGGTCGCCAAGCTGAAACGCTTCTACGAGTTCTCCCTGCGGCTGGGTGAGTGCCCGAGCTCCCCTGCGTACCCCTGCGCATCCCCAGGCCTGCCCGTGGAGCACCTGCTCAGCTCGGGATGCTGCACCGTGCCTCAGTTTCCCCTCGGCCCATGGGGGCCTTCACCAAGACCTCCAAGATCGATGTGAGCGGTCTTGGGGTCACAGCTGTGGGGTCGCAGCCGTGCCACAGCAGCTGGGATACCTGGCGTCCCTCTCCTGGCTTGAGGATGGGGAGGAAGGGGCATCCCGGGGGTCTCGGGGCGGTGGTGCTCACTGGGGGCTGCAGGATGAGGGAGGAGGCGAGGTGGCGGTGCAGAGGGGGACCGGGGGTGCTCTGTCCCCAGAGAACGCCCTGCGGAGCCTGCTGGAGGCGCTCACCAGCCCCCCGTACGCCCCGACCCAGCACCTGGAGCGGGAGCAGGCCCTGGCCAAGCAGTTCGCCGAGATCCTGCACTTCACCCTCAGCTTCGACGAGCTCAAGGTGCCTCCCGCGCGGGGTGACAGCGAGGGGGGTCCCCACACCAGGACCCTGCGAACCAGCAGAGTCCCTTGTGTCCCCTAACCCTGGTGTGTCCCCCCCTCAGATGACCAACCCTGCCATCCAGAACGACTTCAGCTACTACAGACGGACCATCAGCCGGAACCGCATCAACAACCTGCAGGTGGGAGGACTCTGCTGCTCCCCCGGCCTCCCCCAGGGGTTCACAGGGCTGGGGATGGCTTTGGGGGGGCTCAGGCACCGCAGTGACCCCCAGCACACCCCCCCAGCTGGATGCAGAGAGCGAGGTGAACAACGAGATGGCCAACAGGATGTCCCTGTTCTACGCCGAGGCCACCCCCATGCTGAAAACCCTCAGCAACGCCACCACCAAGTTCGTTTCGGAGGTGAGGGGGGCTGGGGGGACCCTCAGGAGGGGCAGAAACCCCCTCCAGCCACCACACACGGGGGAAACAGCAGTTGGGACCTGTTGGGTTTCAGAACAAGACCCTCCCGATCGAGGACACGACCGACTGCCTGAGCACCATGGCCTGCGTGTGCAGGGTGATGCTGGAGACCCCGTGAGTGCCCCACTTTGGGGTCTGGGGGGGACAGCTTGGTCCTGGGGTCCCTGTGCCACCCCTGCCAGGCTCAGGCAGCCTCTCTGCTCGCCCAGGGAGTACCGGAGCCGCTTCACCAACACCGAGACCCTGCTCTTCTGCATGAGGGTGATGGTTGGTGTCATCATCCTCTACGACCACGTCCACCCCGTGGGGGCCTTTGCCAAGACCTCCAAGATTGATGTGAGTGGTCTTGGGGTCACAGCAGCTGGGATCCCTGGGCTTGAGGATGGGGAGGAAGGGGGATCCCAGGGGTCTCAGGGTGGTGGTGGTCACTGGGGGCCTCAGGACGAGGGGAGAGAAGGGAATCTTGACTCCATGGTTCAGAAGGCTGATTTATTATTTTATTATATATATTATATTATTATATATATTATAATATATTATATTATTATATTATAATTTATTATTATATCTTTTATTATATGTATTACTATATATTATAATATAATATATATTATATATATTATATATTAAAACTATACTAAAAGAATAGAAGAAAGGATTTCATCAGAAGGCTGGCAAGCAATAGAAAAGAATGGAATGATAATAAAATCTTGTGGCTGACCAGACAGTCCGGACAACTGGGCTGTGATTGGCCATTAATTAGAAACAACCACACGAGACCAATCCCAGATGCCCCTGTTGCATTCCACAGCAGCAGATAACCATTGTTTGCATTTTGTTCCTGAGGCCTCTCAGCTTCTCAGGAGGAACAATCCTAAGGAAAGGATTTTTTAGTAAAATGTGTCTGTGACATCACAGTCCCTCTCTGTGCCCCCAACAGATGAAAGGCTGCATTAAAGTCCTGAAAGACCAACCCTCAACCAGCACCGAGGGGCTCCTGAACGCTCTGAGGTGAGACGGGGGCTTGGGGACACGGCTTGGGGACAGCAGAGAGGGCGCGGGGCTGTGACCGGTGTCCCCTCCCCATCCAGGTACACCACTCGGCACCTCAACGACGACACCACGTCCAAACAGATCCGGGCCCTGCTGCAGTGAGGGCGGGGCCGCAGTCACCGTGTCACCCATGACCATACAGCTCATTTTGTACCGAGGGAAAAGGGACAGCGAGGAACGCACAGAAATGCTACAAACAAATCAAAACGGGCCCGGGCTCCTGCCCCCCTCCCCTTCCCCTTCCCGCCCCCAAATCAGCACCTGCTCCTGGACACGAGGTGTGGGTGGCACCGTGGGGACACGGGACAGAGGCCAGGCAGGAGAGACCCGGGCAAGGCAATGCTGGTGGGGCTGGCAGCACGGTGCCCATGGCACGGGGGCACCCTGGGGAGGGGGCAGGTGGTGCCCCTGTCCCCATCCTGGTCCCCAAGAGGAGGAGGAGGAGGAGGAGGAAGAGGAGGAGGAGAAGGAAGAAGTATCCCTGTGGATCTGCACTGACTCTAGAGGAAACGGCTCAGTCTCACCTGGTAGATTTTTAATATGAGCAATTAAATCCACACTCACCTCTTCTTTTCTACATTTTTTTTTTTTGGGTGTGAAATAAAATGACATTTAATCTGTTCGTGGCTGCAGCTGTGTCCCATCCCGTGCCACCACCGTGGCCCCTCTCCGTGACACCCTGCGGGACAAACGCCACCTCCCACAGTGACCAGGAGCGACAAGAGGGACAAGAGGGACAAGAGGGACAAGGTGCCCCCCGAGCCAGCCCAGCCCAGCTCCCTCCTTCCCCAGTGCAGCTGCAGACTGGGAGGACTGGGGCTGGAGGCCGGTTCTGGCTGCCGGGGCCGCTGTCTTTGCCGGCAGATGGCCCTGTGACACCGCGACAGCGCAGCCCGGCTGGCCCCACCCGTGCCAAGGCAGCCCTGGGGGCGCCCACCCGGCCTCGCACCCGCAGCCCCCCGGGCTGGGGGAGGCTCCCGCAGGGCAGGACCCCGTGCCAGCCCCTGGGTGACACGGCCCCCATCCCCAGGGTGTCCTCAGGGTGGCTCCGATCGGTTCCCTGGGGTTTGGTGTCCTGCCAGCCCGCTCCTTCCCGCCGCCTTTCCCGCCTGGCACAGGGCAGGAACGGGCACTGTGACCCCCCCTCTCTGTCCTGCCTGTCCGGGGGGTGACAATGGCACCCCACGGGTGACACCACAGCCCCAGAGCCTCCTGCAAGGCGGCTCTGGCAGGCTCTGCCTCAGTTTCCCCCGCTGCCCCCCGTGCGTGCTGGGGGCACATGGGCAGCGTCCCTGAGATGGAATTCCTCAGGGTGCCGCCATGGGGACCCCAAAGCTCCATGGACCCCCTCCCCAGCCCCAGGGCTGCCCAGAGGGGACAGAGAGGAGGGGGGACAGCCCCCAGCCCCTTGGGCAGCGGCATTTCCCGGGACTGGTGCCAGGATCCTGCCGTGCCCGGCCGGCTTTGCCGCCAAACGCGCCGAGCTCCCGCGCGGGGCGGGACAGGGACACGGCTCTTGCACAACCCCGGCCAACAGCTCCTTTTATTTTTAGCCTCTTGCGACATTTGGCTTTGCCACAGCCACCTGAAATGCTGCCAAGGCATCGGATGGGCCACGGGCTCCCCAGAGCCCTGCCCTGCTCCCGAGCTGCTCCACGCTCGTGCCTCAGTTTCCCCGTGAGTTCCTTTGACCCACTGGCCCTGTGGTGGCAGCGGTGCCAGCCAAGCCCTGCTGAGCCCAAATGGAGCCCAAGGGGTCCCATTAAATCCCCCCTCAGGACAAGGATCCCACCCGGGAGCTGAGGACGGGGCCAGGACAGGCTCTGTGGTGGCTGCAGCTGCTGCGTGTCTGCAGGAGCTGCTGTCCCCAAGTGACACCGTCCCCCAGACGGTCCCTGGCCCATCCCAGGAGTGTCCCTGCAGCGTGGGAACCGGGCTGGGAAGAGGCAGGACAGCGTCACCACGCGGGACCCGCCACCAGGATGCTTTAAAGCCACCAGAGGGTGTGGGCACAGACACCAGCTGGTCACCGGTGCTGGGAGAAGGTGGCAGCTGTGTCCCAGTGTCCCTGTGCCGGTCAGGCCCTGGCACAGAGCCCATAACATCCCCCCTGGGGTGCCCCTTGCTTGTGAGGGGAGGGATGAGGCCAAATTCGTGCCACATCCCAGCCCTGACTGTCCCCAAGGTGGCATTTTCAGGGCAGAGCAGGTGGCATGTGCCACCCTGGCAAAGGGCAGCACTGCACGGGTGAGGCTTTTCCTGTGGGAGCATTTCAGAGCCAAAACCGGCTGAGAAAAGGGAACCAAAGGGGATGTACAACACCCTGAGCATCAGAGCTCAGAGCTCTGGGGACAGTGCCACCCATGAGGGCAGCAGTCAGGGCTGGAGCCCTGGCAGGGGCTGCTGGAGGCAGCACACAGCGGGATGCAGATCAGGAGGTGCTGCCCGTGCACCTCTCACTGCTGGACACGAGGATTTGAGTCCCCCTGGAGCCCTGGATCTGCCTCTGCTCTGCCTGGCACCCAGACTGCCAGCACCGTGTCAAAATGGCAGTGTCCAAGGGAGGGGACTGCCCCGGGGACAGGCAGTGCCACCACCGGGATGGTGCCTGCTCAGCAAGGACAGGGAGCTCCCCCAGCTCAGGCTCTCGGCTCCATGCTCAGCCAGACCAGGGTGCCGAGGGCTTTAATTGATGGCGAGCCAAGCCACGCCGGGGCTGTTTTCTAATCCCAGTGTAATTAATGACCTTATCTTTGGCCAAAGCCATTTAGATTAAGTGGCTGGTGTGATGGGCTCGGCGGCTCCGGCTGCACAGATGGAAGAGCCGCGTTTGTCTGGGGATTAGCGGAGGGCAGATGGAGTGAAGTGCCATTCCCCACTCCCAAACCTCCCGGCACTGACAGCAGCCTGAAACCTGAGACCACAACAACTTTCTCAGCGAGCCCTGGCTGGGACTGGCGAGCGATTCCTGCATTGTTTGTCCCTTCTGCAGGGCCCAGAGCAGCAGGAGCTGCTGCCAGCACCAAGAACTGGTGTGACCCTGCCAGGAGCTCTATCCCAGCCCCTGCCTGGAGACCTGCAAACAGCAGAGGCACAACGCACCGAGAGTGACCTCCCTTGGAGAGCAACCCCCGGCAGGAATGCTGCCCTGGCTCTGCCCAAATCAACTGCTCTCAATGGCAGCCCCCAGCTCTCCAAGGAAGAAATCCCACCTGTATTGTGGTGCTGATGGGATCAGGGCAGGTGTCCGTCCTCCACTGCATGGACAGGGAAGTGTGGCACACCCTGTTCACCTGGAACACCTGGGAACCAAGCCTGGGAGCCCCTGCCTCCCCCTGCTCAGCACAGCCCATCCCAAACAGGCTCCTGAAGAGAACAGGCTGCTGGGGAAGAGGAATAACACGAATCTGTGGGGATAACAAAGTTCATATTAAACCGATTAAGGATATTTAATCCACCTCTAACAGTATGGACATCTGACTGCACTCAGGAGCCAGAGCAGATAATCCCAGCCCTCCTTCCCAGTGCTGCCCCAGTGATCCCAGCCTGGCCTGGGGAGATGACTCAACATCTCAGAGCTGTCTGTCACAAACCAGCTCAGCACATGGGCCTGCACTCCCAGCTCACACTTCAGGCTGGGAGAACACAATTCCATGCCACGACCTCGTGCCCATGTGCTCCAGCACTGGGCTGAGCCCACATCCTTGGGTTGAGTCAGCATGGATGGCAAACAAGTCTGGGCTGGAGAAGAGGCTCAGCTGGCACTGCACAGACCCAGCAGCACCGCAGTGCCCAGCATTCCAAAGCTGGTGCCCAGCTCTGCCCAGTGCCAAATTCCCAGCTCTTTCCTGCACATGAGCTCCCACAGCTCGAGGCAGGCACCCCACGGGGCCCTGCAGGAATAATTCCACTCTGAGGAACACAAACTGGAGGTTTAATCTAATCCCCACCGAAGCAGGAATCTCCAGAGCCCACACCGGCAAATCCACCCACGCAGCTCTTCCCCAGCAGGATGAGCCCTGGCTCTTGCCACATGGCACAGCCCAAGGAAAAACTTGTGCTCTACCAACCCTCAAACCCTCCTGACTCTGAATTTGCCAGGAGAATCCCAAAGGCTGTCCTGGTTTCACCAGAGCAACATTCCAGGCACAAATGGCACTCACATCCTCCAGGAACAACAGTGGGACACCAACTGCCTGGCGGACACAGCACCAGGAATTTGCTGCTCAGTAGCTTTGGATTCAAATTCAGGGCTGGTTCCCAGTGCCAAACCACAGTGTAACCCCCCGGGAATTCTGCCTTAACTAGGACAGGCTCATCTGTTGCAAACTCGATGAGATCATTTCCAAGTTCCTGTTTAACAGGTGCCAGGCTCCTCCTGCACCTGCTGTGTGCACAGGGCTCCCTGCCCCCACCAGGCTGGGAACATCTGCTCAGCTCCCTCAGGAGATGTGGAAAAGGTGACTGGGAGAAGGAACCAGATCTCCTGCCCTGTGCCCAGAGCAGGGAACATGGGCCAGGTAGAATCAGAGAGCAAGGAAACCGCGCTTGTTAACAGGGAGGGGAACCCACAATAATCCTGCAACTTTATTTGCATGTAAAAGAACAAAAAAAAAAAATCCTCTCCACAATAAAGGCAGGCAGAGCTCGCTCAGCTCCGGAGCTGCACCCCCGGCCAAGCTGGAGGAGTCGGGGTATTTCTGTCTCTGAGATCCACACAACCACAGAGCAGCAGCTCAGCCATTCCAAGGATGCAGCTCTGGCAGGAATTCACACTTTGCATGGGAGGAGGCTCCCAGCAGCCTTGCCCCGGGGCCCAGCCCGTTCCAGGCAGGGCTGGGGGAGCATGGGAACACAGCGGGATGAGGCCACATGAAGAGGATCCCATGCAGCCTTTGCCGTCACACACCTGCCTCACCCCCCAAAAAAATGACTCAGCTCCTTGGTTCAAGGCTGCCCAGCACTAAGCAGCTTCCTCTCCATGCAGGTGGATGCACAGCTGCTCCCTTTTCCAGGCCTAAGGCACAGGCAGGCTGCCATCCTCGTCCGAGGTCTCTGTGTCCCCACTGTCCCCCACGGTCCCTTCGGCACGGCCGGACGCCTCCAGCTTCCTCCTCTTCTTCAGGTGGTGCAGGTGGGATTTGGAACGTGTGTGAGCTGGAGGAAGAGGCAAACAGAGCCTTTAATCTGTGGAATTTGGAGGAGGAAACAGCCAAACCCCCCACGCAGGGCAGAGCACCCTCCCTTCCCAGCACAATTCACTCCCAGAGAAAAGCGAATTCCCAAACCCTGCCCTGGCTGCTCCTCTGGACACTTCCAGGCCAAACTATCAGGGCTCAGAAGAGGACAAAGGAAGAACTGAGAGAGGGAAAAATCCTGGTTTTGTGTGGGCAGAAGATTCCAGGCTGTCACTGCCAGCCTCTCCAGGGAAGAGGGAATGTGTTTCCCAAGAGGTGGCACTTTGCAGGCTGCAGGTGAGGTTGGGCAACTCCCTGCTCCCCATGGAGAGCTGCCAGGATCATTTGTAGGACTGGATCCTTGCACCACAGCACTGGGAAGATGCTGTGCATCCTACAGGGCAGCCAGGGAAAAGCCTGGAGCAGAATTAAACTTCTGGATAAC